ATACATATATATATACACATATATACATATATATATACACATATATATATACACATATATATACGTATATATACATATATATATACACATATATACGTATATATATACACATATATACGTATATATACACATATATATACATATATATACACATACATACACATATATATACATACATACACATACACATATATCTACACACACATATATACACATATATATACACACACATATACACATATATATATACACATATATACACATACATACATACATACATACATACATATATATAAACATACATATACATAAGCAAGCAAAATACATTTTTGACTGAAGGGGGACTTTAAGTTTGTGGTTGTGTAAAACACACTGGACGTCCTATAGAGTTTCCCACGTCGGGCCTTAAAAGCAGCAAACTACTTGTGTTCTTTATCTCAACTGAGGAAATCCGCGGAAAACGGAGACACCCCGGAGCAATATTGTTCTTCTTTATAACTCCAAAGAAGAAAGCTATGCAAGCGTGTGGGAGAAAAATCAACAGTCTGGTGACCGTGAAAACTGCAGAATTTTTAAAAGTCAACAATAAATTTAGCTACTCGGTTGAAGCTTGGGGGGGGGGGGGGGTAGATAGATGACATAAGCATCTCTCTGAGTGAAGCTCATCTGTACGTTTAACCTCACTGCACTGGAGGGAGAAAAAAAGGAAGCTCCCTCTGCTTGTTTTTGGATTAGTCATTACGGGGAATTCTGAGGGTTTTACAGTTTGGCCGCAAAAGAGGTTCAGAAAATCTGATGAATATTTACACATGGCCAGGGACAACAAACAGTGTGACCAAGCAGTTTCTGCAGTGTCATTGCCGGGGTACAGACGGTAAATACTTCACAGGCAAAGACTCCAGAATCAACATCGCGCTCTGTAATTACACCGGCCAAAGCGACGGCACAGAGCTGGTGTTGGCAAAAAATAAGCACCGAGTCACTGAAACGGCCTCTACTGTTCTTAAAAATGACCTAAGGAGGGATCACTGAGCAAACGCTGCCCATGTAAGTGTTTATGTCGGTGCGGGGGGAGAGGGTTAGGATGCACCGCCTCCTCCCTTTGGGAACAATCTGAGTTAATGACAGCTGAGCTGGTGATAATGCAACAGAGCCTAAATTAAATAATCCAGCTAGTAACCTCTAATACTCTGTGCGTGCTGGATGTTCATTGGGTTAAAGATGTCCGCAAACGCACACGAACACACAGTCAGTCAGTCAGTCTTCTGTTGCTAAAAAATGTCTCCGCATACAACCAGACGCCCACGCTGACCCCTTCACACCCTGAATACCAAACACACCAATCCACAACCACAGGGGGGGGGGGTGAATAACAAAGCCCAATCGCAGAATTAGACACTATTGAGAAAGCTCCCATCATAACCTTCTTTTCACTGGGCTTCATGTCAAAGAGGAACGCGCTCAGAAAGGCCACAGTCACATGTCCCTTCGTTCATACGGAATGAGCTGATTTTTGGGCACAAATACTTCAACTTTTATCAGAAGCAACAAGTCAAACTGCAGTCTAAAACCAGCGTGTTTGAGATGCTTGCACTTTGATTATTTCTATTCCATGCTACGTTAAACTTCTACTCCACTACATTTAAATCGTACATTGGAAAGTTAATTGAAAGTAAATGGTTACTTTTCAAATAAGGATTTCACAAAGAAACAGCAGCAACAGTAAAATGCTGTCAGTATAAAGTCTAATAATGTCATATATATAAGAATATATCAGTCCCAGGTGTACCGATACTTAAGTTTCATAAGCAGCCTACATTGTAACTGATATGAATACTTGTTCCACAGCTGCTAACGTTCCAGAGAAGCCTGAACACGACCACTTACCATCAGAGACACATTTATAGCTCACAGGCATTGACGCAACCGTGAGTCCAATCAGAGGAATCTCACACATATCTGGCCAATAAGTTTCATCCGGTTGACAGATGTTGCTCTCGAATCTCTGAATCTAATCACAGCGCCGTCCTCGCTACGGGAGGAGACACTATTGCAGCCGCCAAGCCTTCTAGGAAAAGAGACGACTCTTAATCAGATCTGGAGCTTATGAGGCTGAGCGCAGCAAGAGGCAGCGGGTGTAACAAAAGGCAGTGGGCCTGTACAGGAAATAAGGATCTAAACGGTACGTGAGGTCATTGATCATGTTATAAAACAGCAGTGGTATCCTGCTCAGGATCAGCTTCTGTGTCTTGGCTGCCTCTCACCTACCCTCTTCCGTCTCCCTCCTCCTTTCTGCTGTTTCAACTGCAAAACAGCCGTCAGCCTCCCCATCCGCTGCCTCCCACTGCTCACTCCTTAAGGGAGGAGCTGAGATGTTAATGAAGGCTGTTGTGATGTAAGTCTAAGTGAAGTGTTGTTCATGGAAACATGTGAGACACGTTGCCAGCATGAATTCCATTTTGATTTAATTCAAACAAATGTCCTTTTTCGTTCTTGTCTTAATTGTGGAATGAAGACATAATTCTTATTTCAGCTGTTCAGCCGGTTTAGAGCTGAAATCATGAATTCATTAGTCAAGAAGCAGCTACTTTGATAGTCGATTAATCATTTTACAGTGTGGTGCATTATGGTTCTGCCATACAGTGTTATTACATTGTGTTGTTACTGTGTGTTTCTACTATACAGTGTGTTGTTACTGTGTGTTTCTACTATACAGTGTTATTACAGTGTGTTGTTACTGTGTGTTTCTACTATACAGTGTTATTACAGTATGTTGCTACAGTGTGTTTCTGCCAAACAGTGTTGTTACAGTGTGTTGTTACAGCATGTTATTACAGCGTGTTGTTGCAGCGTGTTGTTGCAGTGTATTTCTGCCATACATTGTGAACAGTGTTTTGTTGCTGGGTGTTTCTGTCTTACAGTGTTGTTACAGTGTGCAGTTACAGTGTGTTGTTACAGTGTGCAGTTACAGTGCGTTGTAACAGTGTGCAGTTGGCTTGTCTGCAGAGACCGGTGGCTGTCTCTGCAGACTCCCACAGGGCTCTCCTGTAGCTGCTCTGAGGCTCTCTCTGGTTTCTCTCTCTGTGGATGCCGCCACACAACCATCTGCTTTTATAGCTCATTTAGCACATACACGCTCTCGTATATGCATGACTGGTACCGCATGTAAACACAGAGGGACATGTTTCAACAGTGGCCATAACCGACAGCCTTGTGTATGTCAGCCAGCGAAGCGTTGAGAGTCAGAAAATGTACCTTTTGAGGGATTCAACCTGGGAAAAAACAATCAAAATATAATTTTCTTTACAGAAAACCATCACCTAGCAATATTGCTTTTCACAGAAACGAGCCTGAGCGTGGTCCAAAAACTGTACGTGAGCCAATTGACTGTTATCATCTTACAGTTACCGTTACTGTCGTCCATATTACATATTAGGGCTGCAACTAACAATTATGTTCCTTGTCTCACTTAATCAATTCATTGTTTGGTCAATAGAGTGTCAGTGAAAAATACCTTGCAGAATTGATGTATCCAGATGACTTGCTTTGTCCAATCTCCATTCCAAAAACCCCAAATCCATTGACTTACTACCACATTTGAATCAAAGAAAAGCAGGTTTCGACTGTCTGTCGAACCACAAACATTCTGAATTACAGAAACGTAAAAGCAGCTTTTGACCTTTGATACGGTTCCGATGGATACTGCCGCAGCGTCTTCCTCTGTGGTGTTGTTGTTGCCACCCACCTCCACGCCATTCACTGCTGTTACTCTGTGCTTTCCTCCGCCATCAGCAGTAGGCAGGAGGTAACATTACATAACCACACACAGCTCGAGAGACATGGCGTTCCCTCGCTGTCTCTTTATGCTCCTCCTCCTCCTCCTCCAAATCCCCAATTTCCCCACCTTGTCTTCCTGTTCTCCTCCCTCCCTTCTGCCTCTTCCCATCATCATCAACCTCATCCCCCAATTTTCAAATGTTCTCCCTCACAGTCTCTTTCCTGCCTCTGCTGCCCACTCCCTCTCCTCCGATACGATCACATCAGAGTTTAAAAACAGAACCAGGACGAGGAAACCAACAACATGTCTGCGTCTTATACAACCAAACTGCTCCACTCACATGTTCACATCTATACGAGCACAAAAATACCAATGCCTGCCCTAATTGGAGCTGCAACTAACTGTCATTTTCATCATTGAATAAACATTTTGCCAATAAAAACCCACATCACAACTTCCTATCAGAAGAGCCCAAGATAACCTCTTTCATGGCTTGTTTTGTTTGACCAAAGATATTCAGTTTATCAAACTAAAGTAAGACAAATAGAAGACGCTAAGTCTCACGCTTAAGGTGCTGGAACCATGACAAGATGACTAATTAATAGTCAAAACATTATCGTAAACATTATCGTTTCTCTCCAAGATAATAATCAAGTTTCCAAACCAATTTCCAGAAAATCTACAACACCAAAATGACAATATATGCTCATTTCCATCTACGATTGCTGGTTATGTCAATATTGAGAGTTGGTTCATCTAGATAAACAGCTGGTGACTCTAATTCTTAGGTCACCTGCCATTAAACTATCAGAGAAGTAGAAGAGGATGCTGCTAGAATTAAAAGACGGGATGGAAATTTGGCCTTTGTTTCATGTACTACTTTGAGGAACATTGCGGTCTCCTTATTGCGCCACACAGATGTGATGATTTTGTCTCGTCACTGGATGTTTAAGTCACCTACATCATGGACGTCAAAATGCCTGTTCACATTTCACCTATGTTTTTAATCGATAGATCAACTTTTCCACCTCAGCCGAGCTAAAAACTAGATATTTTTCCTCATTTTCGGCGTTTTTTTTATGCAAATTGAAACTATCCATAAAAAAAAAAAAAAGAAAACTTAATAAGTAAATGTGACAAACAATAAATCCTGCACCACTGGAGGATTAACGGAGGCCACTGCAGACTGGGGGGACGTTTCCAGGAGAGCTAATGAGATGACGCATTTAAAAGAGCCTAATGGAATTACGGCGGAATTTAATAGGAAAGCAAATTAACAAAAGGATGTTTGCAAATGAACGAACTCCGTCAGGATGCGTTCACGTAACGGCACTCATAACTGACCTCAGCGTGCTGCTCCTCTGTGATAGCTCCATCTATACATGAAGCGGAGTGAGTCTGGTGGTCCCATGGTGCGTTGAGGAACAAGTCAGAAGTGTCTTAAGTTCAGCTCTGCTCTATCTCCGGGCCGAGACACCGGTTGCGTAACACCGGCAGCTCATCCACAGGCTTATCCCGTCCTCGTGTTGTCCGACGGGTGGGGGGGTAGGAGCCCTTCCGACCGACGTACGTCACACATCTCAGAGCAGATGTCAATGAGAAAGACGAGCAGCGGGAAATGTTTTGGGCCGGTGTGGAATGCAATACTCAGATTTGACAAAAAAACAAAAACGCTTGAGGAACTTGTGTTCTTGGTTACATTCAGATTATTTTCTGTTGAAATGAACTGTAAAATAAGAACAGCTGACACAGTTAGTTGGTTAATTGATCAGTCGACTATTTTAATATGCCTTTGACATTTCATGGTTCCAGCTTCTCAAATGTGAGGATTTTCTGCATGTTCCTTGTCTTACATTATAGTAAACTGAATATATATTTATATGGAGCCTATCTTTTTATATTGTCTTGCGCAAGCAAAACTGTTGTTGGACACAATAAAAAAAAAAGCAATCTGAAGAAGTCGCCTTAAACTGTACAACTTCTGACTTTGAAGACCCTCATTTCTATCAATCGAGAAAACAAATTCTCAGATGAATCAATGATGAAAACCCTGCAAAATAAGTGAAAAATTCTGATCAATTTAAATACAATTCATCCCATCGCAGCAGGGTCAACATCTCATAAAAACAACAAACCACAAACAGCGAGGCAGGAAGGGAACATACAGAAGAAAGGAGGAGAACTGAAACGATGTAAAATGACATGAGAGAAAGAGAAAAGGAAGAGATGTCGTCACACAATGTGACTGAGCAAACAAGAACAAACTCCGCGAGCTCAGGCAGCACACAGCACACAGTACCTGTTAGCAGGGAGAAGTCGAGCCAACCAAAGTGGACACTTTCTCAGAAAGAGTAGCTGCTGGTTCTCCCTCCCGGAGTCAAGTGTGCTTACAAGGGAGGGAGGGGCAGGAGCAATTTAAAT